CCCCCCCGTTGGGGTAGGGTTTGGCCGAAGACCTCAAAAATGCGGACGAAAGATGTTTAACAAGAAATTTTTAGCTAATTTTTAAGTATTTTTTTTAATTATTTAAGATTTAATTGAATAAAATTCAGCAAATTGCCGAGTAATTTCGGCAACACTTGGCATCCCCCCCGTCGGGATGGGGTTAAGCGAAGTATCACCCGAATCACAAAGTCGAATAAAGTCGACTCCCCTTTCTTGTAGAATTTTAGATAATTATTTTGATTTTAAATTGATTTTAAATGACAAATTATTATTTAAAATAAATTTACCACTTAAATTATTTAATAAAACAAAATTCTTAATATTGATTAATTTCAATTTGGTCAACTAGATTTATACAAAATTTTCTCATCACCGGTTGGATAGGAAGACTTGTATCCGGCCGGCTACGCACCGCCCTCCCCTAACCTAGGGTTAGGATTTTACTCTAATTAGGGTTTCCCCCAATTAGGGTTTTAGGGTTTTGCGCGCTACCGCACGCCACCACGTTCAACTTCTCGAGGCATAAAATTTTCCGTCGGTTTATAGTCAGTCAAAAGCCGGGTTCCCTCGGATCACTTTTGCCGCAGACTTCTGTTTCCGTTTTATTTTTATAAAAATACAAAGAAAATCACTAATTTCTTTTAATTTTTCCCTCTTTTCCTGTCTGTTCGCGGTCACTTCTCGTCCAAACGGAGTCCGTTTTCCCCGACTAAGGTCTCAAAATGTCGGGAAAAATACAAGGACCAACTTTGGTCCGGGCGGGGTTCACCTAATTTCGCTCCCTTTCTTCGTAATTAAAATAAAAAGAAATTCATGATTTTCGGAATTTTAATTAGAAAAATACAAAAAAAACTATATCTCCTTTTCTAGCCATTAAAATTTTTCAAAAAATATCTCAAAAAGTTCCCCTCGACGAGAGGTCGAACTTTGCTCCCAGGGCGCCTCGCGCAAAAACGCGCGGATCGGGAGATATTAAAAAAAAACGAATTAAATATTTAAACTCATAATTTTTTGGATTTTTAATTGGAAAATACAAAAAATTTCATATCTCTTTTTCTAGCCGTTAGAATTTCTCAAAAACGTCTCAAAACGTTCGCCTCGACGAGAGGTCGAACCTTGCTCTCGGTGCGCCTCGCGCAAAAACGCGCGGATCGGGAGATATCGAAAAAAAACGAATTAAATATTTAGACTCATGATTTTAGGGGTTTTTAATTAGAAAATACAAAAAATTCCATATCTCTTTTTCTAGCTGTTAGAATTTCTCAAAAAACGTCTCAAAACGTTCGCCTTGACGAGAGGTTGAACTTTGCTCTCATAGCGCCTCGCGCAAAAACGCGCGGATCGGGAGATATCGAAAAAAGCGAATTAAATATTAGAACTTATAATTTTTGATATTTTTAATTAGAAAAATACAAACAATTTCATATCTTTTTTTCTAGCTATTAGAATTTCTCAAAAAACATCTCAAAACGTTCGCCTCGACGAGAGGTCGAACTTTGCTCCCGGTGCGCCTCGCACAAAAACGTGCGGATCGAGAGATATTTCAAAAAAACTAAATAAAATAATTATAAAAAATATAACTAATCAAGAAAACAAGCCAATTAGTGTCTAACTAATCAGCCCGTGCACCCCCGTTGGTTGAGGAAGGCCGCAGCCTTGGGGGTGCTTTTCCCCTCCCCGGCAACGGCGCCGAAGTTGTGAGGAACCCGGGGAGGAACGCCTACCGTTCGATGAGGCCAGGGGCAACAGCGCCTGTCACTCGCTGCGCCCACATCAGAGGTCCTCAGCGGTCCGTAGGGAGATAAGCGTTTGTTTGTCTGTCACTACCTTTCCGCGGAGCAAGTTCGAAAACCCTTTTCCACTGCGCTACAAATTTAGAAATAAAATAATCATCATCCCAAAATATTCCATTTCAAAGGTTCTTTTCAGTGCACGACAGATTCAAAAGCGAAATTATTACCAATTCAGTGTATTCCGCTTCAATCCGATCCAACATACATCGACGCTTGTCGTCATAACGAACAGCTCTCTCTTCGGTGGTTAATGGCAAGTGCCGTTGTGCTCAACTGACCATTACTGTCTCACTATGCCCCCATGAATGCTCGGTTTAATAATTGGAAATGTACCCCTTTGCCGCTGAGATGTTCAGAATGAGCCCTCTTTACTGGTGAGGGCAGGCTGGCAAATTGAGCACTTTCATTTTCCATTCACTCAGTGCAAATGCATCC